TGAATTAACCATCCCTCATACACGAACCGTGAACCTTCCGCCCGCGATGCTTAACCGTTTCTGCGATTTATACGCGCGATTCATCGAGCCGTGACATCGGCCTATCTTTCCCTCCGATACTTTGGAAATTTACAAAACGCCTCCTCGTGACCCAGTGCATCGGAGGACGGAGGCGAACCGGTTCGATTGCTATTGAAATTCACTCGCAAATTAATGAACGCGATCGACGTCGCTCGAAGCGGCAAAACCGTCACATTTTCGCTGATCGAAACAGACTTCGCTGTATCAAATTTTCCGCCATTGAAATCAACGACATTTATGCGACGTTCTCGATGAAACAAGGCTTCTTTAAATTAAACAAAATGAAAATATTAAGCCAGCAATTGGTAAATTGAACGTATAAATAAAATATAAAAAATATGGACTACTTAATAAACTATTTAATAAAAATTCCCTTGCTTATTTGTATTAAATTTATCACCTCAATTGTATTTATATTATTTATAAATATAGATCAATCAATGGTACTGAACGCATTTAATGCTAATTATCAAGATGATTTGTTCCCACTTCACCAGCTTCCAATACATTATCTTTCTATCTACTATTAACCCTTTGCCCTCGCAGCCATTTTAACTGTAAATCTAAATGAATTTTTCTGACTTATGGTATTTAAATTTTATATGACAAAGTACATTTTATGCATATGAAATTTACTCTTGCGACTCATACAACAATTAGACTTTTAACAATTTTTTACATCTAAACTTTTATAATATAAAAATGATCTTGAAACGTGATGTAACAATTTTAATGGTGCCTCAGAGTCGCCACTCGAGTGCAAAGGATTAAATCATTCTTCTATATATTATATATTCTATTTTTAAAAATATCCACACGTATCCACATATCGCGCGCAAATCGACGTCATTCGAGGCAAAGAATAGAGTTTACGTGGAGCACACAATGAAATCAAGAAACGCCTGCACACGACGGACAACACATGGGACACGAATCGCCCAAAGATGAACGCTGTCCACAGCGTCGAATGGAGCACAACGAGAAGCAACGAAATTGCAAAATAACCTGTGGACACGATCAACGACGCGTCAAATGTTTGCGCGTTACAATGGAATCTGTCGTTCCGCGCGGAATTGACTGCGAAATTGCCGTCGCGCGGTAAAACTATAACGAGATCGACGTCGATCGAAGCGAAGGTCGGGACTAAACTAAAGTACGGGTTCGAAACGAAAAAAAAAAGAAAAAAAAGGTAAAAAAAGAAAAGGAAGTCGCGAGCACGGTTTAAACGCTTTGTATCGGAGGACCGTCCGCAACAGACGGTTCTATCGCCGCGGGCGATCGCGCCGCAAATTACCGTCGCGTAGAATAATGTCGCGATCGGCGGGTGACAAAGGGACGGACGGGGTTTACCGGCTGAACGAAATAAAATTTGTTTCGCGATGTAAACGGCTAATGGATTGCTTCTGATACAGCGAGCTAATTAGCGATAGGTGCTAACGCGCCGGGAGCTTGTGGTTCGTTATGCGATTGCCGGGCCGGGCTGCGCGGCGCATGCAACGATCCCAATTAACGGCATTCAAATCTATTACTGTAAATAGGGCGGGGACGAGAGAGAGAAAGAGACGGGGAGTAGGAGAGCTGGATTTACTGAGAAATAGGTGAGGCCGGGTCTTTTAAAGCACCGGGGCACGGTCGTGCGAGAAGTTTAATTTTATTGGCCGACGAGATCGTTTGCCACCGACGCGGCGGCGCGTCGACGACGTGACACAAACACGACGCGCGATCGCTCGCGGCTCCGAACGAACTGGCTGTAAAAAAAGAAAGAAGGAACCCCGTCCTTTCACGGTTCCCATGGAGAACGAAAAGGCTCGCGCCGGGAACATCGAACGGAACGGAAATTGTGCCGCGGTCGAACCTGTCCTTAACCGGACCGGAGACGCGCGCGCGCTCCGCGTTTAGAGGCGTTCGGGTGCATATTTTTAGCGCGGCGGGGGTTTCGCGTCCGGTTTACGTGCAATTAGATACGTCCGCGCCCGGGAAACGGGATTTTTTTCGGTGCCTCTGATCGAAAACGGGCGCTCCCGCCCATCCCGTCCACGGATTTCCATTTTTCATCCGGCCGCGGANAAATGATCTTGAAACGTGATGTAACAATTTTAATGGTGCCTCAGAGTCGCCACTCGAGTGCAAAGGATTAAATCATTCTTCTATATATTATATATTCTATTTTTAAAAATATCCACACGTATCCACATATCGCGCGCAAATCGACGTCATTCGAGGCAAAGAATAGAGTTTACGTGGAGCACACAATGAAATCAAGAAACGCCTGCACACGACGGACAACACATGGGACACGAATCGCCCAAAGATGAACGCTGTCCACAGCGTCGAATGGAGCACAACGAGAAGCAACGAAATTGCAAAATAACCTGTGGACACGATCAACGACGCGTCAAATGTTTGCGCGTTACAATGGAATCTGTCGTTCCGCGCGGAATTGACTGCGAAATTGCCGTCGCGCGGTAAAACTATAACGAGATCGACGTCGATCGAAGCGAAGGTCGGGACTAAACTAAAGTACGGGTTCGAAACGAAAAAAAAAAGAAAAAAAAGGTAAAAAAAGAAAAGGAAGTCGCGAGCACGGTTTAAACGCTTTGTATCGGAGGACCGTCCGCAACAGACGGTTCTATCGCCGCGGGCGATCGCGCCGCAAATTACCGTCGCGTAGAATAATGTCGCGATCGGCGGGTGACAAAGGGACGGACGGGGTTTACCGGCTGAACGAAATAAAATTTGTTTCGCGATGTAAACGGCTAATGGATTGCTTCTGATACAGCGAGCTAATTAGCGATAGGTGCTAACGCGCCGGGAGCTTGTGGTTCGTTATGCGATTGCCGGGCCGGGCTGCGCGGCGCATGCAACGATCCCAATTAACGGCATTCAAATCTATTACTGTAAATAGGGCGGGGACGAGAGAGAGAAAGAGACGGGGAGTAGGAGAGCTGGATTTACTGAGAAATAGGTGAGGCCGGGTCTTTTAAAGCACCGGGGCACGGTCGTGCGAGAAGTTTAATTTTATTGGCCGACGAGATCGTTTGCCACCGACGCGGCGGCGCGTCGACGACGTGACACAAACACGACGCGCGATCGCTCGCGGCTCCGAACGAACTGGCTGTAAAAAAAGAAAGAAGGAACCCCGTCCTTTCACGGTTCCCATGGAGAACGAAAAGGCTCGCGCCGGGAACATCGAACGGAACGGAAATTGTGCCGCGGTCGAACCTGTCCTTAACCGGACCGGAGACGCGCGCGCGCTCCGCGTTTAGAGGCGTTCGGGTGCATATTTTTAGCGCGGCGGGGGTTTCGCGTCCGGTTTACGTGCAATTAGATACGTCCGCGCCCGGGAAACGGGATTTTTTTCGGTGCCTCTGATCGAAAACGGGCGCTCCCGCCCATCCCGTCCACGGATTTCCATTTTTCATCCGGCCGCGGAATTCTCGCCGAATTTCCCGGTTACACCCGCTTTTTTGTCCAACAACGAGAACCGTCTGATTTTTCGGTCGGGAGGGCGGCGTGGGATCAGGGCGCGAGCGATTTGCATGTCTCTCACGCCTGCCAGGCCCCGCCTCTTTAACGCGGAGCCTGGACCGCTCGCAAATTTTTGCAAAACGCCCGCCCGGATCGATCCGCTCGGCCGCGGCCGCCTTGAGTGGATCCCGCGAACTCCCGCACGGAACCGCGATCCTGGCCAATAAAAAGAAAATCCCGCTCGTTACGGGCACCTCTCCATCGTCACCTTCGCGCCGTCGTTACAAACGGCGAGTTCCGTTTTTGAAGTCGCCGCTGAAACATTTCGCTGTCTCTAATTCCAATCGACCCCTTTGACGTCGAATTTTCATCGCGGCTGCGTTCATTCGAACCTTTCCTGTTGCCATAGTTCCGCGCAAGAAGATCATTTGTCGCGCGCCCGTATTTACCGAAATGAAACGTAGATACTGTAAAATGACTGTCTAGTTTCTGCGTTGGGAAAAATGGACGAATATTGTTATAAATGTACCTAAGCGTATGCAATTATATTTCTAGCGAAATAAGTTCGCCGCTCAAGCGTTCGATATTCGTAACGAGAGACCATGATTTTATTTCGATACGAAAGAAAGCAGCAGCATATGTCCTCAATAAATTATCACTAGAAATCTGCACGGAAAGTCCTACTTGCAATTAGACGACGCGGTATTAATCCGATCTTGCTCGAGAAGAGAAACGGAGAGAAACTTCTCCTCGGCAAAGAAGAAACGCGGATCCGCAAATGACGGGATTTTTCTAATTGATTAGAGATCGCGCGACAAGTCTGATCGAAATTTAAGCCAGCATGGCCACACAGCTGTCGTGTAAAGTATCGGAAACTGAATTCAGCATCGAGACTGCAGTATCGCGGACAACCGAGCCCGAAACGAGAAAGTATCGGTGACATTTGCAGCTTAAAAGTATAAAATTTCCGATTTTTCTCTCCGGCGGAATCCGTGTTTGGTCGAGGAGCGTGGGACAGCAGCCCGGCGTCCAAACCGAATTTGTTCTGGCCCGGTCCGGCTGGTCGTGTGTAACAATCAGGGCTTATCACGGTTCGTCAGTAAAAGGCTGACGAGGCGTGGGTCAATCCCGGCCCGGTCGATAAGGTCATCGAGCCAGCCGTAGAGCGGAGTCATTTGCCGACGGTGCCGGGGCCAGGTAGCTCGTCGAATTATCCTCGGTGACGAGCACGGGACCCGGCACCCGGCTTAGCGGTCGCATCAGGGACGCGAAATTTTCATCCGGGAATTCCAGGGAGCTTGCAGCGCCGGAAACGCGCGCTCCTCTCGTCGTTGTGTCCGTACCAGCAGGACCAAGGAGGACGCACGCCGCGGTGTCGCTATCGACGTCGTCATACCGCTGGCCCAATTTCTGACGACTTTGATTAAAACGACGGCTGAATGAGAGACCGTCTATGATCGAATGCCTGCGCAATTCCTGCGGCTGCAATTTCCGTGGCCGGGTGCTGATGCGTGTCGAGATGTCAGCCCGGTCGTCGACGTTCTACGTTCGACGTTCTTCTCCGCTTCAAATACGTTATTGTCCCCTCCGATATCGTGGTCCTCTTCGACGTCGCTGTCCCCGTGGACATCATGGTCCTTATCGACGTCATTCTGTTCAATATCGTGGCTCTCTTGGACATCGTAGCGCTCTGAGACATCGTCGTGCTCTTGGATATCATAATTGACGTCGCAGTCTTCATCGACGTTCTCCTCTTGGACATCATAATCCTCTGGGACATCGTCGTGCTCTTGGACATCATAATCCTCTGGGACGTCATAATCCTCTTGGAAGTCACAGTTTCTCGTCGACGTACTCCTCTCGATATCATAGTCTTTGTGAACATCATGGTCCTCGTGGACATCAGAGTCCTTGTCGACGTCCTTCTCTTGAACATCACAGCTATCTTGGAAATCATGGTGCTCTGAGACGTCACTTCTCTTGGACGTCACCGTTCTCATCGACGTTCTCCTCTCGATATCACAGTCCTTGTGAACATCATGCTCCTCGTGAACATCATAGTCCTCTAGGGCATCACAGTCGTTATGGACGTCCTTCTCTTGAACATCATAGCTCTCTCGGGCACCACAGTCCTCTGGGACGTCCTCTTTGACATCATACTCCTCTCGAGCATCACAGTCCTCGTTTACGTTCTCCGTTTCACCATCGTATCTCTCTCTCTCAGTCCTCGTCGACATCCTCCTCGTTGACATCGCAGCGGTGTCCTCGTCGAACACCGTACTCGTTGGCTGCGAGTTGAAACGGAAACACGGGCGCCGCTCGGGCCGTCCGGTCGTAAGAGAATATGTGAGAATGCGGTGGCAGACTGCGGAGCAAACAGCGGGACGCCAAAGGACCTGCTCGCTAATATTTGATGGCGGGACAGTTCGGCTGTCCCCGGTCGCTCATACAAGGGCGCGAGGTTTCTAAGTGAAATGTTAATAAGTCACGCGACGCCGAAATAACAAAAATAGCAGGGCAAACAAGCTCGGAGCCGTTCTACGCCGGTGCTGCGACGATCGTTAATTTTTTAAGGGCGGCCCGTCTTTCGCTGCTCTTGGGAAATTCATCGCCTTTGCGCATTCCTCGACGACGGAGGTGCTGCAACATTGGCGCGAGGTTTGCAAAGGGGGTGGAAGTAGATTAGTGGAAGCTGAATAAAACAGTTGCGGAATAAGGGAGGCAGTTGTGTGCAGAGATGGACAGGTGTACGCAAGGGGAAAGGGTAGACGGCGAAAGGGTAGAATGCGGGTAAGACGCAAGTGGTTAAAGTAAGACGGCGTATTAACGTTTAATGATACCCGCGCGATGAACACGAGATGCAAAACGTGATGTGCAGCGGGGACGCGAAGTGTGTAGTCTCTGGATGGTTTCATCGTCCGCTTATTTCCTTTTTCTTGATTAAAGGCGACGCGTGCAGAACGTCGTCCCGGCGCGGGAGATTAATTATTATACGGTTTATGAGTACTTGCAGAAGATTATACGAGTGGCTCCAGGGTATTTGAATACTCGAGGTATTCGAGTACTTCGTGAAAATTGTACGACATGCCAGCGAGCATTCGGATCGTTAACCTCCACACTCGAATGACTTCGTGGCGGCATTAAAAATCACCATGCTGTCGTTCGAGGCAAGATCTCGAGTGCGAAGTAAATTAAAGTGCATCGCGGCTGGGGAAAAATAGATTTTCGAAGTTCAGTGAATTTTCTGCAATTTATCCTTCTACTTCCAAGCGAAACTGAACAGTTTGGGAAAAAGAAGTGCGATTATTCGAGCATTGTACTCCATTTTTATAATTATTGACGAACAGCAACTCTAATACAGCTCGAATCTAATACAGAATTTATGATAATAATAAATAAACTTATAATTTAAAAGCTACACGTGGAAATACCATATTCCAATATATTTAACTTCGTAATATTCGCACGTAATTACCATTTAAAAAAGAAGTTCATTACCCATTCTATTGTATATTACATGAGAAAAGAAAGATATTTATAGTCCATTTGCTACTTCAAAGATCTATTTTTCCCAGCCCCGAAGCATACGGGTCAACGGAGATCATTCGAGTCCGTAGAACAGAGTGCACGAGTAGACAGAGAATACCGCGAACAGTCGAAGCAGAGTGTACAGATAACAATCGCCGTTATAGTAATTACAGCAGAGTATACCATAAAAATGATGACCATTCGAGTGCCGGAGCGGAGTATCCGAGTACACAGAGGGAATACGAGAGCAGACAACTGGTCGGAAGTACGTCCAAACAAGGTCACGCCAGATCGGCAGCTGAATTATGGCATTTCAGCTGTTTTCAAGGAAACTGCAGCGTTCCTGTTCGACGTTCCAGCAACTACGTTCGTTCGATGATCGTGGTATCGACACGTCGGACGCGCCCCTTTAAGGCATCGCGCTGTGCCGGGTCTTTCGATGTCTTCGCGCTCGGTAAGAGATTCATTCTGATTACATATATGTGTGTATATATATATATATACATATGCGGTATACGGAACGGTTTTGACGCGTCCATCGGACAAGTTCGCGGCGTTATGCATACGACACGAGCTGCTCCGCTCGCGGGATTATACGGCGGCGGGTAACGACTTTGACGAAACAGTCGGATTACTCGGCGAGACGAGCATAGTCGGGGCCGAGCTGTTTACACATACACGGCGAACCATGTTCTCGCGGTCTCTCTCGCGGACGCAACATGCATTTCGAGAAAAATATTCATGCGGATTGGGTACGTGCGGCTGTTCGCGCGAGGACGCCTCCGCGCCGCTGCACCGTCACCGCGCCGAAACTTTCAATCCGTTTCACGGTTCCACCTCCCCGTCTCGTTCGAGAAGTTCTCCTCGGGGAGCGGCCGTGTACACGTACGCCGGTCCTCGAGAGTGTCATTTCCGAAATAAAAATCCTGTCAAAGCGAACACGCGTCGCGGCGCTTAGAGGCGGGCACTAGCCGCCGCCGCCGCCGATGGGAATGTATTTCCTTGCGGTGCAGCGTTCGAAACGAAATACAGTAATGTCTCCCTAATTGACGCCCAGATTGACCACAAAAATGGACAATTTGGGAAGAGGAGATTTGAGGAGGAGAGACAATTTGCGGTTTATTTGTATAGTTATAAATTGACCATAATTATAAAAACGAGCAGCGAGGCTCGAACAATCGTATCTCCTCTTTCCAAATTATCCATTTTAGTGGACAATGTGAGCGTCAGTAAGGGAGACATTACTGTAGAAGAATAGAAGCGCGCGCGGTCAATTTTGCGCGACGTTGCCTCCCTTCCTTCCGTCCCTTTTCCCGGCGTCTTACGCGAAAGAAGCTTCCCGGAGACTTACGTAACAATCGCCGGGGAACTTCCGCGCAAACAAATACGAGAATAATCATCCTTATTTCCCGGGAAGAATGCACGGAACCCGGGGAAAAGGGATACGAGAGCTCGTAACGGAAACTTCTTATCCTTTCAGAAGTCAGCCAGCTCCGCTGATCCCGCGGCTTTGGTTCCACGGAACCAGCCCATCCCGGTGACGTCTTTTAAACCGATAAGACGTTCGCAACCAATCCCCAAAGCGGACACGCTGTGCTCGAGGAGGCAGCCAGAACTGGGAAAAGAGAAAAAATTAGTCGCCGCGACGGCGAGCTGCGAGTCGCTCTGCTCTGCCTTCGGAACCAGGCCGGGACGGCGGATGCTTATTATTCCGTTCATTCGCCGCGGCTGAATGCGCTCGCTGTCCGTTTAGAAAATTCACGCGAGACTGCGACACGGCTTTCCGAGAGGAGAACGCCTCAAAGGGGAACACCGCGTCTCGAATAAATACCGGAGCATGAATGCGGACGCGGCATTACACGTGCCCTCTTCAACGGCGACCCGCGGTGGATCGTGAAAACGGATTGCCGTGCCGGACGAAATTCTAAACGCGCGATTCTTTTTACCGCTCCGTCCAAGAATCAATCCCTTTTTATTCATTCGGCGAAGCCCGCTGCGAGCCAGGCTGTGATTAAAACGTCGGATCACGGCCGCGACGTCTCGGTCTAATTTTCCATAAACGCGCGCAGAGTGTGTGTCTTGACGCGTTCACCGGCGCGGCGGTTCGTTATTTCGAACAATCCCGCGACCGTTTAGTCCGGCGAACTGAAACCGGGATTCTGAAGTTCGTTAATCCCTTGAAAACTGAATGGTACTTTAGAAATGAATAGTGTAACGGATTTTCGTGAATTAATGTCGCATTGGGAATAATGTCTCCCGGAAATGCCAAATTTCGGGTTGCTGTGAATTTCCCTGTGCCAGTCCTATGCCTATGGAATTTATTGCCATGTCGATTCGATGCTAAGGATCGACGGAAGACAACGCAAAATGGATTGTTTAAGGTAAAAGAAACTGCAGAGCTTCAAGGTACAGGTGGTTTCTCTCTAATTCGCGCTTAGATTGCGCACAAAATTGCGCATTATAATTACCGATTGTCAATAACTATAAAAACGAGACTCCTCTCCCCAAATTGTCCATTTATGTGCGCAATTTGACCGCGAATTAGGGAGAAATTACTGTACTTAGCAATTTCTTCCTTCAATAATTCGATAAAAAGTCAAACTAGAGCTGTTCGCTTTTACAACAACCGCATTCGATCCGTAATCCGAGAATGATTGTTTCAGTTCGCCATGGTCCACTTCGAAACGGAGTCGGAAGATCTTCCGATCGATCAAGCATGATCCCGCGTCCTGGGTGTTCGAGCTACGATAAAAATTAGAGGATCCAACGACGACGACGACGACGACGACGAAGAAGGGCTGTTCGTGCAGGAAGATCGGTCGCAGTGCGCGTAGCAAAAATGGCGTCGATGCTCGTGCAGGGGAATCGATATTTAAGCTTGTTAATGCTTCTCTCTGACATACAAAAATAATTTCATCGTACGGCGGAGGAAACGGGGGATAAATTGGATTTTCATTGGCCGCCGAGGGGAAAAAAGGGAGACAGGCATCGGGGGCGGCTCGGTGCCGGAGAAGAATTCGATTCCGTGGCTCGCGTGGTATCGGCAATAATTATCAACACTTTACGCGGGTATGACGGGGCTTGCCGGAGAAATTTAAGGGGGAAAGTTTGCTTTCAGGTCGACTTTATCGCGGCCATCGGCTTTATTTCTGCTCGGCGAGGCCACCGGTACACGCGTAGGACGGACTAATCTCGCTCCGAGCACAGATACTTTCGAATAAACGTCTTCCGGTAAATGTATCCGGGAAATTATACGTGGCGGCGATGCTATCGCTGCTGCCTGACTTCCCCTGCACCCCGAGTATATTCCTCCGGATATCGGTCGCCGGTTTTTAATAAAGATTCGAACCGGCTCGTCGCGTGAAATATCCGCGGAGCAAATAATCTATCGTGTATCGTCGGCCGGGAACCGCCGAGGGACGATAAAAATCCGTAACATCTTCCGATCGTCCTGGAAATTTAACGCGCTCGTAATTATGATTGCACGGGAGATAAAAGAGGCGCGGGGATGCGGCACGGGGCAACTGCAGCGGCAAGATGGCCGGTCTGTTTCGCGCGTTCGTTTTTCCAGTCACGCGATGTCCTTTGAAATTTATAATAGTAGCCATGATAGTAATAATGATAATAATAAAAATAATAATAATAATAATAATAATAATAATAATAATAATAATAATGTCAACTTTATTTATCGTCGGGATAAATTCAG